AGGTTGCACAGGAAAGTGTCCAGGTGGGTTTGAACATCTCCAGAGATGGAGACTCCACACCCTCTCTGGGCAGCCTGTCCCAGGGCTCCAGCACCCTCACAGGAAAGAAGTTTTTCCTTCAGTTTGTCTGGAACTTCTGGTGTTCCAGTTTGTGCCCATTGCCCCTTGTCCTGTCACTGGGCACCACCGAGAAGAGCCCGGCCCCATCCATTTGGCCCCCACTCATGAGCCTTTGGTAAGGATTTGCATTTACAAAGGTCTCAAAGTTATTATCACTGGTGGCAGTGATGGCAACCACCGTTAAAGTCAGAAGTATTGAGAGACCTCTAGAACTTTGTAGTCTGCAAATAGCCAGATCAGAACAATTACCAGCTCATGATTTTGCAATGACTGAGAGCCAGAAGCCATTAATGTCTCCTGCAAATGCTGGCATCTCCTCAGAGGAGTTGATATTAGCTGTGACTTTTGAAAAAATGTGGTTCATGATTTGTAAATGTCTGTTATACATCTGCTGAGAGAGTTTGGGATAACTGATAACTTTTAAAATCTGTAATTTAAGATCTTAGATTTTCATTATTCTTTAATTTTTTTTACTAATTGAAATACTTTCTAATAAGGATGACATCTCTTGACAAGCACTTTCACTCATAGGTAATCCACAGCTAAGGCTGAGACTTTGCATTTTCTCCCCAACCATGATGGAACACAACAGAAGCCATCAAAGGTGTCTGCAGTCAGTTCAGTTATCTGTACTGGGTCACGCTACTACCCAAAGGGAGTGATATTCAGCATGAAACATTCTGGCTTTCACAAAGAGCTTCCTCCAGAAGTACAATACTGATAGGATCAAAACTCAACCTATACAAGAGTGGGATGTTCTGCTTGCTCAGTTACCTCTGGGTACTTACTCTGGATAAGCAATGTCTCAGGCAAAAAAAGTATTACTTGAGGCATTCAACCTTTGCCCCTAGAGGTTCATCTAATTCTAAATATACACAAAAATGAACTGCAGTCCCATGTCAACAACACTCCAATAGAATCCTAGAATCGTAGTGGTTGGGAAAGACCTTCAAGATCACAGAGTTCAACCATAAACCAAACACTGCCAATTCCACCTCTAAACCATGTCCCTGAGCACCTCGTCTGCCCATCTGTTAAATCCCACCAGGGAAGGTGACTCCACCACCTCCCTGGGCAGCCTGTTCCAATGCTTGACTGCCCTTTGGGTGAAGAAGTTTTTCCTCAGATCCGACCTAAACCTCCCCTGGTGCAACTTGAAGCCATTTCCTCTTGTTCTATCACTTGTTACCTGGGAGAAGAGACCAACTCCCACCTCTCTACACCCTCCTTCCAAGAATGACACTTGACAGCAGTTGAGAAAGTAACATTCATCAGAAAATTAAAACAATGTCACATCATCTCTCAAACAATTTACAACAACACAAGAAAGTTTAAAGGGTACAGATGGCGATGAACCTGGAAAAATGCCACAAAAATTGCCGACTGAAATATCTGCAGCTTCAAATAAATCTACGTGAAAGCAAATAAAGGTCTCCACCATTTTTAGTGATTTTTTTTAGGAGTCTTGTTAATCCAAAACATAGCCAAAATTACAAGGTCAAGAGTTCTAATGGCAGGTCTTAGGTAATTTACCTTTAATTATTATTATTAATTAATATTCATCATAGGCTGTACCCAGTGTTCTTGAGAGGGTAGCGAGGACAGACACAACGATGAACAAAAATCTCTCGTTTTAACTGTAGCTTCACTATCACTGATGCCATGAAAGTGCTTCAGTGTGGTACAGATGTCCAGGGAAGACATCTGCACAAACCAATGCCCTTTGTGTTAATGAAGGAGTGCTTGTGAAATCAAAGGCTTGCACCATAAACGTGAAGTGACAAGGTGTTTAAACAGCCCAGGGGAACATGTAGCTCTAGAAGATTTACAGGGGCTTCAGCCAACTTAGAAAGAAGCTTCCCAAGGATAATAAACCAACTTTGAAGAAGAGATGAGGTGCTGAATACCGTTAGCATTAATTGATGGGTGTGCTGTGCAATACCTCGTTAGGGCAGTCTGGTTTTAAATCCGATGATTCCACTAATCAGCAAGCTTACATACATTACCATTTGTTGGGGTTGATCAGCCTGCAAAGAAGGCTCTGGGGAGACCTTCTAGTGGCCTTCCAGTATCTGAAAAGGCCTACAAGAAAGCTGGGGAGAGACTTTTGACAAGTACGCATAATGGTAGGATGACGGGTAACTGTTTTAAACAGAAAGAGGGTAGAGTTAGATTAGAGATTAGGAAAAAAATATCTATTGTGAGGGTGGTGAGACACTGGCCCAGGTTGGCCAGAGAAACTGTGGCTGCTCCTCCCTGGAAGTGTTCAAGGTCAGGTTGGATGAGGCTTTGAGCAACCTGGTCTAGTGGAAGGTGTCCCTGCTGCTGGCAGGGGGGTTGGAACTGGATGAGCTTCAAGGTCCCTTCCAATCCAAACCAATCCATGATTCTATGAAATCAAGGCAAACCATCCCCTTACACGCAGACATAAAGCATTTTCGAACCAATGGTGAGAATTTCTACACACTTTTACATGCTCTTTCCATGTGCAGAGGAATAAAAGATAGTTGAAGTTATAAAAAAAAAGACTTTTCTGTCCCAACTCATGCTCTTTGCACACTGTGACACACAGATATCACCCAACGTGGGTACTCACAACACAGAGGCAATAGGGTCCCACCTGCCTGGTAGGGTCCCACCTCTGATAGACCATTGCACATCTTTGGCATTTTCTCCCTTGTGGAAGGCAGGTTTGCACTCCTAACAATGAGCTGTGCAGCTTATAATCATGATTAAATCAGAAAGCCCGGTGACCACAGCTATCTCTAATTTCCAAAGCACAAGCAATATAACCAAGAATATTCCCCAAAGTGGATGGTTATGATTTCATAAACACAGGCATTTTGAAATGAAGAAAATTTTGAAAACATTAAATATTCATAAATATGAAAGGTTTTATACCAATTTTAAATGAAGCCTGGAAAATGA